TTTTCACAATAAACAAACTGAGATTCAAGTCTCACTTGAGGAAAAACAAACGTTTATGATCAATTTGATCACATAAGGAGCTAAACAAGTTCTCAGATCAAGATAGAGATTGAAAATAGATAGAAACATTTCATATGAGAAAAGAATTGCAAATAATTGAAAACCTAGATTTCCTAAGTCAGATAGAGAGAAGCAGAGGCGATAGAGGAGGTTGAGGATTGCAAATTTACTTCTATTCTCACAAGACACCGATGAAATCACCTAATTTGCAATGAAATCACCTGAAAATTCAACAAATTGACAAGTATATTACAAGCTTGAGAACTCAAGAAAACGAGAGAGAGAGAGAGACGAGACAAGACAGAGAGATTGAGAGATAGAGATTGGGAGGGAGATTGAGAGATAGAGAATGAGAGCGAGATTGAAAGAGCGATTCATACCGATGGAGATCTTTAGACGACAATGGCGAGCGGAAGAGCTAGAGAGTAGAGCTATGCATGTCTGTAATGAGAGAGAGAGAGAACAATCCGTGTTTTAATTTTTCTAAAACTAGGGCAAATATAAGGAAGGAAAACGGGTAAAAGAGGAATAAATTGGTTATTTGCGACGGCTGATCAAGTGGTCGCAAATTATACAGTAGCAAAAGGTCCTTTTTCTAGTAGTGACCCCAGGCTAAAATAGTCAAAAAAGTTAAAAGTTAAAAGTCAAAAAGTCAACTCACTTTTTTAATCTTACAAAAAAAGTTGCGTTTAGAATGATTTTTGACTTTTTTTTAATTGATTTGATATTTGTGAAAAAAAAGTGAGATAATTATGATTTAAATATAATATTTTATCTTATTAATCAATTCAATTTATTTTATCTTTATTAACTATTTTAATAAAAAATGTCATATCGCAAATATGCTGTTGTTTGGGATCTACCAAATAAGTCAGTTTTCATTTTTGCCTTTACGGTTTTTTTCAAAATTATGTGGAAAAAAAATTTGCCTTTCCGATTCGTCTTATGTAGACAAATCTAAAAAGTAAAAATGAAAATGAAAAAGCCAAAATAAGCCCAAAAACAATTCACTATAATTTACTTATTTTAGTCTAATTTGAAATTTTTTAAACAAATTCAATTTTGTCTGGTCAAGTAGAATGTAGAATCTAAACACTTAAAGCTTACTGAAATATTTTTAAAAGTTTTTACTAAAGAAAAAAAATTTACGAAGCCAGCAAAAAAACAAATCCTATGTCATTTCCTAAATTCTCAAATTATTGTGAACAATTTGGAATGACAGCTCATATGTTTTCAACTTCTTCTAAATATTGGGCTTTCTCAAAAAAATTATCTCATTTTTTTTTCGTGATCTACATTGATCATGTATGAGAGTAGTATGTAATTAAAATAGTCTATTCACTTTTCTAAAAAATATAAAAAGATTGAGAGATTGATTTTCAATTTAAAATTGTCTATTTCATTTTAAAATGATGATTTTGCCAACGCCAGAGACAAATTAAATATCTTGATCACAGGCTTAATTTGTCCAATTTTTTACCATAAAAATTTGGAGAAATTAGAATTCAATGAACTTTTCAAAAAGTAATTGCAAATTCATGAAAAAATTAATGATTTTAATTATTAATTTTTGTAAAGTTTGTCACTATTTGTAGTTATTTTTCAAATTATCACTGATTTGATATTTCCCCTAAAAAATTCGCCATGTAGCAACAATCTCGTTCAAGCCTAGCATCTTTTGTTCATTTGGCCTTTCTTTGGCTTTTGCACGACCTATTTCGATCCTTCTAACATTTTTCTTTTGCTGGTCGAAAGGCAAAGAATTAGTACTCAAAGATCGCACCATCATCGCAAAAGATAATATAAAACGAATATAAACACCCAATGTTGATGTTTTGTCATTCTTTGTTTGGTGAATATGTTCTTTTGTTAATGGTCTTTGCCAAGATTGCCAAATAACTCTTTTTAGTGGCAAAATCAAGATTTTGATTTATGGGGCACTATTAATCTTTTTTTTTTTTTTAAAACGAAATTTTATTGATGAAAATAGACCATTATAGCAGAACATCAATAGGGGGGGCAAGTGCTATAAGCTTCAAAGAATACCATATCCATCCCAACAAAGTTGGCACCGACATGGATACCCTAACATATGCTAGCACTGCAAGTTTGGTAAGGAACCAAACAAGAAAGAACTAGAAAAACAACGATATCAATTACAAAACTTAATTAAATCTAATTTTCATTTAGCGATAGAATGACTAAAGATCAACGTAATGTCAAAATTTTGTGCCTTAATTATGTTTTAATTAACCGATGCTTTTTTTATTTGCTATTTTAGTTACTAAATATGATGAAATCACAATTTAAAATGTAATAACATTCATACAAACAGAAAAAGGAAAAGAAAAAAAGAAGATATATGTGGAGAAAAATAAGAGAGAAATAAGAGGGATACAAATACTTATAAGAGAATATTTTGATAAAATTAAATATTTATAATGATAAATTATAAGAAATTTAGTAAAAAGAAAGAGAAAATAAAAATGAGATATAAAAATTTTGAAATACATATAAAAATTAAAAAGGAATTAAATAAAAAAAAATTAATTAAAGGTAAAAGTATAATTTTCAAAAAAAAATGAGAGATATGTGCCCCTAGACCCTATGTAGCTCTGTCAGAGACTCTTTTATCAATGTATTTATTATTGTTGGATGTGAATTTGTAAATTCAAATAAGATGACACGGCACTACATTTTTTTATAATTTTTTACCTTGCTTATTCATAATTAGAGTGAACCCCCACACCATTTGATAATGTGCCTGTTTGGCAGAACTTAAAAGCTGCTTATTTCAGCTTTCAGCTTAATTTAAGTTATTTTGATGTGTTTGGTTTAGTTTATATCTTATAGCTTATAGCTTTTTGGAAGTCAGAAATCAGCTTATTCTTTGAGTAGGGCAGGAGATGCTTAATTTATAAGTCAGAAATTAGCTTATGTTCATAGTTATAAACTATAAGCTGTTTAGGCATAAGGTATAAGTACTTTCCCACAGCTCTACCAAACAGGGCCAATGTAGGATTCACTAGTAAGCTGTGCAAGAGATAGTAAAAAAAATGAATTATGTCTGGATAATAAAGATCTAGTAAGGCATATTCTTTATTGCTTTTCTCCTACATACCTACCTACTCGATTATGGAAAGTACCCACGCAAACACAAATAACAATTTCCAAGCTCCTTGAGCACCCGCATCAGTTTTTTTTAAATTTTAAAATAATTTAATCTAAAATTCACTTTTTTTATTTTGATTAGTCATTTTTTTAGTATTCACTGTATCAAACTTTCTATTATAATTTAATCTTATTAAAATATTAATTTCTTATTGTATTTGTTATTTTTTCTTTTTTTATTAAATTGATAAGTTGCCACCCAAACATTTCTTAAAAAAAAAAAAAAAATTTGTCGTTGACCGGTCAACCGGCCGGTCGACCTAGCTAATTTTCGACATTTTTCCTTCTTTTGTTACAGGCAATCCCGAACATCCGGTGGGATATCCGAAGAGACATCCGAGTGGATGACCGGTTTAAAGATTTTGGCCCAGTTTTACTCCAGAAAATATAATAAAAAATCATATAACAAATAAACAGTGCCTCTTTATTTTTGTTGAGGTACTGGAGCAAATTTAACAAAATGTTAATTTACAAAAAAATTATTGAGACTGATAGAGGAAAGATTTGACACTGATACTCATCGTAGAGAGCCTGATACTAATGCTCTTAGTCTCTACATTTTATTTTCCAAATTGGGTTGGGAGAAAGAGAAGATCCAAAATTTAACTCACTCAAACCATCCCCTACTCTACTTTTTTTTTCCTTTTTCTTTTATTTATTTATTTTTTAATATGTAGGATATTTACAAATGAAAAATATTTGACACCTTAATTTTTTTTTTCATAATCCGGCTTATAAAGATGTGGTCATAAGTGTCAATTTTTTATACAAATGTGAGAATAGAATTTATCAAATTATACATTTCAATCAATCACATATTCATACTTTCACTATTTCAAGATGCTATTTCACTATAATTCCAATTAAGAGAATCTTCAACTCTTAATATTTTTTTTTATCAAATTATAATTTGATAAAAATTTAAAAAGATGAAACATTGGAAATTATTGTTTTTTTTCATCAAAATTGATGAAAAGAAAAAAAATAGGATAAGAATGAAAGTTCTTTTAAAAATTGATAAAAATTGAATGAAAAAGTTAAAGTAATTCATATATAATTTTTATTTTTTATTCAAATTTAAAATCAAATTAGATAAATAAAATTAAAAGAAAATGATGAAATGTTGTAAATATTCTAAAACCTTCTTATTCTTAAGACTAGAAATCCGAGTGCGTATTATATTCATATTATATTTTTAGTTATGAAATTAAAATTATTAGATTAATAATAGAAACATCATATCAATTATTGTTAAATATCACTTCACTTCACATTTAATAATAAAATTGTATATTTGTCTTAATCATAACTTTTAAATTTGTATATTTTCATAATAAGAAGAGATATATCATAACTCATGTAACCTCAGTTTAACTTTTTTGTTATTTATTACAAATTATCAAAATTACACTAAACATATATATATATATATATATATATATATATATATTTTTGAACAGCTAATACATATATATACATATATATATATATATATACAAAGAGAGAGAGAGAGACCATAAGTAGCCAAGCAAGGGCTAATGAGGAGGAGGAGAACCAAGAAGCAGAACGGTAAAGGATCTTTCATTGTTTTTGTTTTTGTTTTTGTTTTTGGGTATAGAAGTGGGAGATCCAAATGCAGCTATGGTGAAAACAGGAAATACTTGTAATATGTGAATGAAACAGTGTTGCTCGAGTTGTATGCACTATTGAAGTCTTTATTTAGGGAGAGGTAGAGAGTTGTTCTTAAATTAATTATAATATTTGATGATGGGATTTTTAGCACGTCCGTGTACTTGCTCCTTCAACTTTGCTGATGTGATGTTTTTATTAACATATATACACTAATTCTCTCTTATTATTCTCTCTCTCTCTCTAGTTTTATTTTTATATATAAAATTTTGAGTTTAGTTTGGAGTATCTACTGGGTCGCAGTGAACGAAAGGTAAAAGTTAGAATTAATCTTAAGGTGAGTTATATTATATCTTGAGTTACCATAATATATTTTACATACGTTTTAACTTATCATATTTTATTTTATACAAGTTATGTTTTATTAATTATTATAAACTATATTATTATTTCAGTAACGTGGATTATTTTTTGAACCCTATTTGTTAAAAGGAAACCCATGGATATGTTTGTTTATATTTTAAAGAATATTTTATTATGACCTTATATACAATTATGTTTTGTAAGTACCACCACGAGAGTCTCATGCCTTTGGAGACTTAATAACTATTGACCCTCTGATTAGTCACTTTGTGACCCT